CAACAATAGGTGTATGAAAATAAAAACAGTTTGATCATCTCCTCTCACCAAAGGTTCAGCATTTTTAGACGGTAAGTAAATAGAAGGTAGTTTTAAGGTGTACTAAAGCTGGGCAAGAAGAAGTAGTCTGGAGATAAACAAGAGCTGGAGAGATGGGTGGGATAGTCTACAGCCCTGTGACCCCTAGCGTGGTCTGTAGAACAGCGATGGCTGCAACATCTGGCAGAATTCAGTCCCTTTATCCCTCCAACCTACTGAATCAGAGAATCTGATTTTTTAAAGGATTCCCAGGGGATTTGTATGTACATTGAAGTTTCAGAGCTCAGCTCTTGGAGCCCTGAGAGGCAGAGTTCTGAGTAAATCTGCCCCGACTGAGGCTCTCAAATGTTGGTATACATAGGAAACAAGCTCCGCACTACCACCATGAAGTTGTGCATACATTTGTACTCTCACAGTACTTAAACATTTTTCTTTTTGTGTCTCTTGTGGTATGTTATTAGTTCCCTTTCTCTCTGCTCAACTGTGAGCTCATCAAAACAAACAACAAAAACAAACCCTCTGTGTAGTGTTAGCACCACAACATAATGACAAAGGCAAGGTGATTGTTTATGTGCTAGGCCCTGTTCTAAGAACTTTTAATGAATTAGCTCATTGAGTCATCAGAACAGCCCTATTGGGTAGGCATGGTTGTTACCTCCATTTTACAGACGGGGAAGCTGAAGCACAGATAAATAACTTGTCCAAGGTGATACTATTCAGTGGTAGACCTGTAATTAGAATCAGTTTAATAGCAGTCTGATTCCAGAGTTCAAGGCAGCAGACACTCGCTCCATGAAGGCTTGTGAATTGCATTCCACTGTAAGTACACCAACTTTAGATGCTGTCTTCCCACTTTAAGAAATAGGCCACAGTAATCAAAACAGCATAGTACTGGTACCAAAACAGAGATATAGGCCAATGGAACAGAATAGAGGTCTCAGAGGCAAGGCCAGACATCTACAACCATCTGATCTTTGACAAGCCTAACAAAAACAAGAAATGGGGAAAGGATTCCCTGTTTAATAAATGTTGTTGGGATGACTGGCTAGCCATGTGCAGAAGACAGAAACTGGACCCCTTCCTGACACCTTACACTAAAATTAACTCCAGATGGATTAAAGACTTAAACTTAAGACATAACACCATAAAAACCCTGGAAGAAAACCTAGGCAAAACCATTCAAGACATAGGCATAGGCAAGGACTTCATGACTAAAACACCAAAAGCATTGGCAACAAAAGCCAAAATAGACAAATGGAATCTAATTAAACTCCAGAGCTTCTGTACAGCAAAAGAAACAATCATTACAGTGAACTGGCAACCAACAGAATGGGAAAACATTTTTGCAATCTACCCATCTGACAAAGGGTAACATACAGAATCTACAAAGAACTAAAACAGATTTACAAGAAAAAAACAAACAAACCCATTCAAAAGTGGGCAAAGGACATGAATAGACACTTTACAAAAGAAGACATATATGAGGCCAACAAACATATGAAAAAATGCTCATCAACACTGGTCATTAGAGAAATGCAAATCAAAACCACATTGAGATACCATCTCACGCCAGTTAGAATGGCGATCATTAAAAAATCTGGAGAAACAGATAGTGGAGAGGATGTGGAGAAATAGGATCACTTTTACGCTGTTGGTGGGAGTGTAAACTAGTTCAACCATTGTGGAAGACAGTGTGGTGATTTCTCAAGGACCTAGAAATAGAAATTCCATTTGACCCAGCAATCTCATTACTGGGTATATAACCAAGGGATTATAAATCATTCTATTATAAAGACACATGCACACATATGTTCATAGTGGCACTGTTTACAATAGCAAAGACCTGGAACCAACCCAAATGCCCATCAATGATAGACTGGACAAGGAAAATGTGGCACATATACCCCATGGAATATTATGCAGCCATAAAAAACGATGAGTTTGTGTCCTTTGTAGGGACCTGGATGAATCTGGAAACCATCAACCTCAGCAAACTGACATAAGAACAGAAAATCAAATACCACATGTTCTCACTCACAGGCAGGTTTTAAACAATGAGAAGGCATGGACACAGGGAGGGAAGCATCACAAACTGGGGTCTGTTGGGTGGGGAATAGGGGAGGGACAGTGGGGGGCAGGGAGTTGGGGAGGGATAACATGGGAAGAAATGCCAGATATAAGTGATGGGGGGATGGAGGCAGCAAACCACATTGCCATGTATGTACCTATCCAACAATCCTGCATGATCTGCACAGATGCCCCAGAGCCTTAAGTACAATAAAAAAAATAAAATAAAGAAAGAAATGGCATTCTGAAGGTGACTAAGGAGAAAGTCAAATCATTGATATTGTTTTAGGTCAATAAGACAGTTTTCTGATGTGTTCTGATATTGTCAATATCAGAACACATCACAGATGCATAATGTTTAATGGGTTCATTCTGAAAGGACACCTCAAATCTGTTATGAAATTGTGAAGTACCCAGACTATTTCAAAGAGCAAGATTTTGTAGAACAACAAGAGTAAATGAAGACTTCCTGACATGGTGATTTATTTCTTTTTTTAATCTTTATTGAAGTATGATTTACATAGAATAAATTTCACTTTGACATACAAGTTTTAATGAATTTTGGTAATTGTATATAGCTATTATAATCTTTGCCATATAAATATATAGATAAATTCTTTTACTCCAGAAAGTAGCCTTTGCGTCCCTTTGCATTTTATCATTCCTCCTGACCTCTGGCTCCAGGTAATCATTTATTTTACTTTCTGTCAATGTAGTTTTACCTTTTCCAGATTGTCATACACATAGAATCATACAATATGATAGTCGTTTCAGTCTGGATTGTTTTGCTTAATATACAGGGCTTTTGAGATCCATCTGTATTGTTGTTTTGATCAGTAGTTTTTTTCTTTCTTATTGATAAGTAGTATTTCATATCATAGATATACTCTGATTTGTTTACCAGCTCGCCAGTTGATGGGCATCTGGGTTATTTCCAGTATTTGGCAATTATCAATAATGCTGCTATGAGTACTCATATAAATTTATTTGTGTGGAAATATGTTTTCATTTATCTTGGGTAAATATCTAGAAGTGGGTTTGCTGGGTCTGCCATACTGTTTTCCAAAGTGGCTATACTGTGTTGCACTTCCAGCAATATATTAGAGTCTGGTTGTTCTTATCCTTGGCAACACTTGATATAGTCAGTCTTTTTAACTTTAGCTATTCTAGTAGATGTTTAGTGATCATTCTTGCTTTAGTTCTAATGTGCCTTTTCTTGATGGGTAATGATGTTGAGCATCTTTCTTAGGCCTATTGTTCATTTGCATATCTTCTGTCATAGCCTGTGCAAATCTTTAGCTTACTTTTAAAAAAAAATAGGCTTTGTATCCTTTTTCTATTGAAAATTATGTATTTTCAAAAACAGTCTGGATTCAAGCCCTTTGTCAAATATATGGTTTTCAAATATTTTCTCAGAGTCTATAGCTTGCATTTTTATTTTATTTTAAATTATGGGGTTTTATGATACATAGAAGGCTCATTCCTTTGTGGCTGCTTTCTACATGACAGCTTGAACTATGTATGCTTAGTTGGGTGGCAGTGGTGGCTGTACCCTGGCTTGCTCATGTTGTTGGTCACCCTGAAGTCCTTGTTAAGGCCCTCAGCCTTGGAGGTGAGCAGCCCTGGCTGCTGCTATCCAATGGCTTCATTTCCTTAATTGTGTCTTTGGAGAGCAAAAATGTTAAATTTTTTATTAACTTCATTTTACCTATTTTTTTCCTTGGTTGTGCTAATTGTGTCATGTTTAAGAAATTTTTACATAATCCAATGTCATAGAGATTTTTTTCTAGAAGTTTAATAGTTTTTTACATTTAGGTCTACCATTTCATTTCTAATTAATTTTGAATCCGACATAGAAATTTAAACCCTGCTTTCACAAGAGTCCTCTCTTTTTGCTGATGTACCACAGAGCTCATCACATAACTCTGTCAGGTTAACCATGGTCATGTAGAAACTAGAATAAAAGAGTGTGTGTGTGAGACACTCAGGCAAATGTTTTAAAGCTGGTAGCTGTTCAGTTCCCAAGTTCTATAATAAATGGTATTGTTTAAATTAGGCTTGTGGGTTGTTGTGTGTGCTGGATGTGCAGAAAGAATGTGAGGGAAATAACTTATGGTAGATATGGACTTCAGGTAATTTTTTAAAGTCATTAAACTCTTGGCAGATATATTTGAAGCAAAGTTAACTGGATAGAATAAGGAATGACTGTAGTGCCCATTTATGCCTCCAAGTTTTGTTGAATCTTAAATATTAGACCAAACGATATTGTTTTGCTTGGTTTTTACTTCTCTGCCTATTTCCATGAAGCACAAACTCTTTATTTGAAGAGAATAAGCTATTTTTAAATTTCTGCAAATCAATTTGAAAAAGGGAAGAACCAATGGGAGAAAATTTCAGTCTGATGTTCTTTTTCCTAGCATGCCTTTTACGGTTACCACTCCCACATCCCCTGTTTCTAAGATAGTCTGAAACTTCAAAATGCCTACAAAAAGATCTCTGTCTTTAGGTTGTTTGGAATTGTTAATTATTGGTGGCAATGGATGAGTGTTCAGCACCTTGGAACTTTTGCAAAAGAAACTTAGTAAGGATACATTTGCTGTAGTTGGAAAAGTATTTGATGAACAGCTGACCTTTCAAATGTTTACATGAGTTCAATCTCTGAACTGCTAACGTTAGGAAGGTCCAAGTTCCAATTCAGACTCAGACACTGAATCCCTTTGTAGAGAAAGCTTTGAAATATCTTCAGCTGCAGTTTTTTCTCTCTCTCTCTTTAAGGCTAACTTCACCTACCAATTAATTGGTTAATGTTTGTAAATGTTTTGAAAAGGTGAAAAGCACTTTCTCAGGGAAGTGCCCTATTGTTCCCTCTCCTGATTGTGGTTTGCCATTCACCTGAGTAAGTGGATAAGCCACGGGCCAAGTTTGCATTGTAGAAAGGAAATGATTCTACATATACTTAGCCACGGGATGGAAAAATATGTTTCTTTCACATAGACTTTGTGAATAAAGCTTCCACTGTTCTGAGCAAAAAATGCAGAAGGAAGCCTTGTTGTCTGGATTAGGTCACTTATAAATACCTTTAAAAATATTTACATAAATGTCTACTGACTAACCAATTCTCTGAGCACATTCCATAAAAATTTCTTCTCCATTGCTTTTAGAAATTTGCTTTTTTTGGTCCATTGTGTTGTATATGAAGTCTCTTGTTCATGGTGCACAGTTAACTTAAAGAAGCCAATCCATCTAAAAGAACTGGGAAGGCTGGCTGGGGAAATTAACGAGAGCCTCCTTTCTAATTGTGGCTTTTTCCCCTGAGGTCCTGTTTCAACATACATTTTTTTTCTTTCCTAGCGTCAGTGACTTCATTGCTTAAGTGACTCTTTTAGATAAGTTCATGTGTCTCTCATGGGCTGCTCCAATCAGCAAGGCAGTCTCACCCCAACTAGTGTCACAACACTCCCTTTGTGGTTCTGGACATTATACAGAGAGCAGCAAGCCACGATATTTCCGTATCTTCGCTGGAAAATGGCATTTTTAAATTGCTCTAAATGCATGCATCATTTTGTGCTTGCAGTTGGAGTATAATGGGAATTATCAGAGAATTGCGTGTCTTTGCCATAGACTTCATCTGGTTCCCATGAAGGTAAGAAAGGACTGTGTTGTTATTACTGGAAATAGGCAAAAGAAGTCTAGGGATCTCTATTGAAGTTTGATCACACTTCGAAGGTGTGTGGAGACCAGAGAGGTCACACTTAGGTGTTTTATTTGACCTATTTAGAGTAGAAAAAATTTAAAAAAAAATTTTTTTTAAGTTCTCTAAAGTTTAAAATTTAGAAGTAAAAACAAAGCAACCCAAAACTCCAAAGTTTCCAGCACTCTAGAGGTTTCACATTTAAAAAATCTGGAATTCCAGCTTCTTTTTAAAAATGAGAAGATCTGGCATCTCAAGATGTGCATTCCTAAGGGGCAAAATTGACTAGATCAGAGCAGCAGCTGATTGTTTGGAAGGCTCACATCACCAGCTTGTAGCCTGGAGATATCAGCTGGAGGGTCTGCATACTCTGTTACTAAAAGAAAGAGTGACTATCATGCTTTGCATATCTATTTTCGGTTCAAAGGAAAGAAACTAAAGAAAATAAAAATAATGATGTAAGATGACGTATTTGAACCTTTATTCGGCTGTTTATAGTCACAATGTCACAAGGTTATTCAACTATGAACAAGTTAAAATATACTTCCTTTGATTCTTCTGAGAGGAAGGTGTAGTAGATATCTGTTCTATATTATGCAGGCCTAAAAAGCAAATTAAATATTTTTCAAAATGGCATATCTAGAGGTTTAAGGCCTTTCAAGCAAAAACTTGACCACTCAGCAGCAAAATAATCGCCACGGCAGTCTGTTAAGAACCAGGATTATATTTATATCTAGAGAGGGTAAAATGACAACTGGACATCACCAGTATCTTTTTACTGAAAAGGATGGATCAATTTGTGAAACAGATTTTATTCTGGGATATCTTTCATTGATAATTCTGCCTGTATCCACTAGATAGCAAATAGTATCTAATGGACATAAATGGCTTTCTAGTCTAGCTTCTTGGCATTAATTCTTCTTCTTATTAGCATCCAGGTTTCCTACTGGGGTGTTTATCTCTCTCCCACTGAGAGCAGTCCTGAGGAACTGGGGTGAGTGTATCAAACTGCCTTGGAATCCTAAAATAGAAGCCCTTGGATCTTACCTTCTGCTTCTGGGTGTAAGCCAAGAAATGGGCATGTGACCTAAGCTTGGAAAGTTGAATTTTCCTGGTTAATTTAATCTTGAGTGGAATGGTGCAAAGTTGGAAGCAACAGTTGGAGCTCATGCGTTCAAGGGATATTGCCCTGATGGTTAAGTAATCCCTAGCCTTGCTCCTATCCTGTTCTCAAGTCTGGTTTCCTATATCCCCTGTCAATTTCATGAGATTCACCAATATTCTGTGGGGTTTTTTTTCTTTAGTTTTCCTTTTGGCAGAGTGGTTCTCTGTTGCGTACAGAGAGCTCTAACTTACATGTTCAGGCTCTGACCCTGTCTCCCTGCTACCAGCCTTGTCCCCTCCCCACCATCTCTTGCCTGGAATATCATAATAGCCTTCTCAATGATCAAAGTATATATATGTGTGTGTGTGTGTGTGTTTATATATATATATATATATAAAACCTTTGTGACCTTATCTCTTTCTCCCTCCTTGCTATACTGATCTTCTTACTGGTCCTCTCCTGCCAGGCATAATCCTGCCCTAAGCCATTTTCACTGGCTCTTCCTTCTGCCTCAATTACTTTTTCTCCAGATAGCCACTTTGGCTTACTCCCTCACCTCCACCTTCATCAAAGGTAATATTCTCATGTTTAAATATCAGGTACTTGGTGAGGCCTTCCCTGACCACCCTGTTTAAAAAGCCAAGACTCTCCCACTATAGGCATTATCTACCCATTTCCAAGCTTATTTTAAATTTTATTTTACAGAATTTTATCACCATCTAAAATACAATATTATTTTTCTTATTGATTTTTTAAAGATTGTCTGTTTATGCCTACCGGAATGTAAGTTTCAAAAGGGCATAGTGTTCACTGCTGTTAACCCCAGCATATAAAATAGTGCTTGGCACATTAATTTGTTGAATAAATGATGTGGCTTTGGGGGAGCACTTTTGTTTTATTTGACTTATATTGTTAAGATCAAGCACAGTGCATGGCACAGCATAGGTACATAATAAATTTTGTTTTTGTTGTTGTCCCTGACTGCTAGGACTATTAAAGCAGACAGTCTTCAGGATCTAATCCTGTCACAGTTTCACTGGTTGATAAGTGGTTTGTAATAATCATAGGGGCTAACTCCACCCAGTATTTGAGCTTGCATTTATTTTGATGGAAAAAAAAAAAGCAACCTGATCAGGATAGAACTTGCTTAAAGAAAGGCTCAGATTAGTTTCAGTGAGTTTACACAGTCAGCGTTTTGGTGGTGAGGCTCTGAAGTTGAATCAAGCCAAGAAATACAATTGATCATCCTAGTCTGCAAATTTCATTTGCAAGTTCAATTGAAGTGTAAGTGTAATGGGATCATGTTATTAGTTCTCGTAGAGGCAAAGATTTCCAGGATAGGAAAATCTGTGTGTGCTTGCTGGGTCAGTGAGAAATGGGCTGGCAATGCAGTGTTCCTGGGGGCACTCCTGGGATGGAGAGACACAGGAAGGGACTATTACTAAGCAAGGTGTTTTGATCCCTCTCTCCTTTCTCTACCCTCCCCCTGCCCACCCAGCCTTCTGATTGAAACAAACGATTGTGGTATTGTGACAAAAAGATAAATATAATTTTAATCCAAATTTAGTTCATTCTTTCAGTCAGAATATTTCTTTTCTTCCTTCTGCAATTAAACATTCTATTTTCTTTTTCCACTGCAAAATTGTGTCTTTTAGGTTGGCAGGGCTTCAAGTGGTATTAATTGTAATTTCTAATTATTTAAACTATTTCAGTGATTAGTGAGAACTACTTCTATGATTATAGGATAGTGTTGAACAATGGAGTTCTTTCAAAGTTTCATTGGTCACTTTCAATTTAGTTAGAAAAAAAATCGCAAAGGCAAAAATATAAGTTTTGAGAAACTACCCTTTTTAGTATCAAACACTCATTTGTGTTCTTCTTTTCAGAAGTAGAGTAAAAATTTTGCTGTGCACTTGAGAGAATAGTTCTTGTGTTAATTTCTTCATAATGCAAAGAGAACTTCTCCCTTCTAAGCAATTTTTGAAATGCTGAGATACTTTTTTTCCTTTATAACTCAGCTCTGGAACCAAAACTTTCTTCCTTGAATTTGTGAATTCCCAACCCCCAAGAGTATATAGTCCAAGTTTATTTTGAGCCTTTTTTTCTTTTCAATGAAAGTAGTAAATGGCACTGGCAATATTTGAGTTAGATAAATTCCAGTTAAGGTAAAGTCCAACTTGTTTGAGACCGGCTATTCAAATCAAAACCACCTAGGGCAGGAGGTGGTTCTGTTCCATCCATGTGTCCGAGGGAATAAGAGAAGAGCTCTGTTAATGGGGGTAGAGAGTTGGCTCTCAAACTTCCTGTGCACATATCTGTTGAAGAAATAAGATAATTATCTAAGAACTCTAAGCAAGAGTTTACTGTTTTGTTTGGGGTTTGCTTTTTGTTTTATTCAAGCTCACATATTTACGAAAGTCAAATGTGTTATGTGGATGTTTAATGGATATTCAGATGGCAGCGTCAGTGTCCTGTTTTTATTTTATGTCTGCTTTATGAGGTCAAATAAAGTAACTGTCCAACTCATACAGTGTGATCCTTTTCATTATTTATCAGATAATATGCATTTATAGTCAGTGGAACAACAGTAAGCTCCAGATAGTGAGTACCATTCTTACTAAGTTTTCTATCCCGAGACCACAGGAAATATGTCTCCAATGTTCAGGATGTAGTAGGCACTATATACATGCTTAATGTAAATTAACTGAATTATGGGATGGTGGTTGTTGTTTTATTGTGATCTAGTTTTTCGACTTATAGAAATGCATCAATGATCTCTTTGATATGTTCTATTCTCATTAGTATGCCTTTGAGAGTTTCTTAGGATACACATATTAGGCTTATAAGAATAGTTCCTTGAATTTGAATGACTTTATGAGAAACATTTATATTGATTATTTTATCATGTTTTCACCACATCACTGTGAAATTAGAAGGCATGGAGACCAAAAGTTTAAGTGATTGTTTTTCATCATTATTTACTCTGACACCTAGGCCAGTTCTCCATTTTTTACTAACCATGTAGTGGGTATAATGAAAACAATTGATTGCCTAATAAAAAATTGTCTTCCTAAAGGCTTGTTGATTGACAGGGTTAAAACAAAATCATGATGTGGAACTCAGAAATAAAGCTCCTGACACCTTTACATTATTGGCATGTGTTTTAAGGCTTTAATTGAAGTAGCTGTTTTCAAAATTCAAGTTCAGCCTGATGGAAAAATCAACTCAGGGCTATCTATGGAGGATTGTTTACTTGATAGGTTAGCACAACACTTGCTGGTTCATTCCAAGTTTGGCTTTTTACTGGGTACACCTGAAGGTTGGTATGTACCCACATTGCAAAATAGTTTTAACAGCAAATTCAACAAGATGGAAATGCCTTCTCAATTATTATACTAATACACCTAGTGTTCAACTCCCATGTGGGAGCATTGAGAGCTGATTTGAAATGAAAACCTTTACAGTAAAACACTTATTTAAGGTCTGCAAACATATTAGAAAGACATAGCCTATCCTTCCTTAAAATTGCTTAGAATTTTTTTTCCCTTTGCTTTGCCTACCTTTTATGGTCTTTCTCATTCTCTTAGCATCACAAGGCCTGAGGTTCTATTCAGTTACCTCTTATTTCCATACACAGTTTTTGCCGTTGGTTCTGTCAAAAAGATGATCAATATTTCATTGACTGATGTTTCAGATTTTAGATCTGGAAATGTCCTGTTTTTTTTTTTCACCAAAATTTAATCATCCCAATCATTAAGGTTGTCTTACGTTTGCTCAGATCAAACTTTCATTTCCTAAATTTTATTGCAGAGATAGAGTCTGGATTTTTGTTTGTTTTATTTTATCTTCTTTCAGTGATGGGGTCTGGCTATGTTGCCCAGGCTGGAGCACAGTGGCTATTTATAGGTGAGATCATGGTGCACTGCAGCCCCAAACTCCTGGGCTCAAGGAATCCTCCCACTTCAGCCTCCTGAATAGCTGAGACTGCAGGTCCGTGCCAACATGCCCAGCTCTAAGACAGAGTTTATTAATGCCTCCAGAAACTTTTATTAAGACAGTTGAATTCTATTATACTTATTTTTCTCTAACTGAGCTCATCTAAAAGTTTCAAACATTTTTATTTTCTTTTTATACTCTCGGATTTTAAAAATCTTGAAATACATCCAACTATATGTTTGACTCAGATTTAATTGTAATTCATTATAACTTCCAATTTTTTTTTCATCTTAATATATGAACAGGGACCTTACTCTGTTCCATTTTCCTTTTGTTAATTCTTATCCTTTAGGATGTGCCTGTTATAGTCATAGGATAAGCTTCATACATTGTTATTTACTTAATGAGTAAATTCATAGTAGCCTATACCTGTATTTCTTAATAGTGACAACAACATTTTGAACATTGTTCTTATATAAATGCTAGATAAGCAAGAGTGGTAACAAAACAATGAATTTTTTTTTAACAGAACTGAGGGTTATTGCAACTATTAATGCATAATAATGTGTTGAAGAAAATGGTAAATTTATATCAATATCTTTTTATGTCCACCTTGTTCACCCTGTCTTTTGATATTTGAATAGGACAGCAACAGACTTTAATGACTAATCTTACATGGTTATCTTCTTCTATCACTTGATTAAAGTTTTAAAAGAGTACCCCAATTCTTAGAACAAAATATTATCACTTGGTTGGGGCAGAGATAGCTTAACCCACAAGAACAACTTATGCATAGCATAACTGCCCATACCTTACCAAAAATGAGACTCTGATTCTATATATATTATTCTAAGCTTGTTAGCCTTTGAGAGCAAAGCAGTCACGGGATGTATTCTTTAAGTTGGTGATAGGTTTTTGTTTAACAAATGTTAAGCAAATGGGGTCTAAAGTCC